CATGTCGAAGGCTTTGCCTTGCTTGTTGTCCACATTCGCAATAACCACCATCTTCACCTTCTTCCTCTACTCTCCTGACCCTTTCAATCTCACCCCACCTCCCAAACAAACCCAAAAACAACAACAACAGCGGGGTGATGATCATCATCTCCTTGATCAAACCATCTCGTTGAAACCGCCACCATCGCCTCCCAATCTAAAGGGTACCCTTCATACATTCCCTCCTTCCCTTCAAAACCCATTTCTCAATTTCGCTACTTTCCCATGCATTGATGATCCTTTGGTACAATTGTATTGATACTCTGTTTTTTTCTTCTTGATTTTGCAGTGGAGGAGAACTGTGAGCTGTTCAAGGGACGGTGGGTGCCCGATCATGAAGGTGCGAGGTACAATAATTGGAGCTGCCCGACGATTCCAGACTCGAAGAACTGTTTCAGGCATGGGAGGAAGGACAAAGATTTCCTCAACTGGAGATGGAAACCTGATGGTTGTGTTCTTCAGAAGTTTGATCCCAAGGAATTCTTTGGGATTGTGAGAGGGAAGACAATGGCTTTTGTTGGGGACTCTGTTGCAAGGAACCATTTTGAATCACTACTCTGCCTTTTGTCCCAGGTTCTTGCTCTTGTTAATACACTGTTCCTTGTCAGAAAGTGGGGGCTTGTTTGGTTGATTTGGAATTGGTTCATTTTTTTTACTAGATGATCACTCTTTCAGCCTGCAAAATCTCTATTACACCCCATCAGTTTGTTTTATTATTTACTTTTTTTTTTATATATAAAACTGTTTCTGTTGGCTACAATGGTGGCTGTGATTGCTCTCTTCCTTGATTCTGGAAATGGGATCAAAGTCAAAGATGAATTCTTTACTGTTATTTTTCACCCACCAGAGCACTCTTCATTCTTCTTTTTGGGTGTGTAGTGTATGGCTTTATGCTTTGCTTGCATAAGGGTGTCCTTCAAATATTCTTTGGTGGGTATCAAAATGAGCTACAATTCAAATTTCTTAGTCAAATATTCCTTGCTCAAATAATAAGTCAAAAAGTTTGTTCATAGGGTGGTTTAGTGATCAACATAAATACATAATTACTGTTTCTTTTGTTTTCGGTTGTTGCAGGAGGAAGCTCCAGTAGAAGCCTACAAGGATGCCGACGACAGGAACAGGATATGGCATTTCCCCCAGCACGATTTTATTCTGAAGGTCATCTGGACCAAGTTTCTGGTCGCCGGAGAAGAAAGGATGATCAACAGCACGACATCAGCCGGCATCCATGACTTGTACCTCGACAGGCTGGACGAGAACTGGGCTCGAGACCTGCACGCCTTGGATTACGTGATCATCTCTGGAGTGCATTGGTTCTTTAGGGCCATATACCTCCACCAGGATTCCAAGGTGGTGGGGTGTATCTACTGCAACGAACCAAACGTGACCAACTGGGACGTCAAAGTGGCAGTGAAGATGGCCCTCAGGGCAGCTCTCGACCGGATAAACAACTGTAAGGAATGCAAGAAAACAGTCGTCGTGGTGAGGACATTCTCCCCGTCTCACTTCGAGAACGGGTTGTGGAACACTGGCGGGACCTGCAACAGGACAGGGCCTGCCAGGGAGTTGGAGATCGACTCAGGGAGGGATGTTTATGAAGTGAGAGACAAGCAGGTTGAGGAGTTTCAAAGAGTAAGAAAAAAAGTTAAGAAGGGGAAGAAGTTTGGAGTTTTGGATATCACTAGGGTTATGAGGGTGCGGCCCGATGGACACCCAGGCTTATTCTGGGGGAACCAGTGGATGAAAGGGTACAGCGACTGCGTTCATTGGTGCTTGCCGGGTCCTATCGATGTCTGGAATGATTTCCTGCAAGCAATTTTGACGAGGCTGAGATGATCGACATTCTTTGGTTAACTAGATTAGATTATAGCTGCATAGTATAGGAATTGAGTGATTTATTTTCATCAATTCATAGAGGCATAGTAAAAATTGATTGTTTCAGCTGAGGGACAAATAAAAGTGAGTGAGAGAGAGAGAGAGATGTGTAAAGATATATACAGAAAGCAAAGTCTACATAGACATTCATGCAGTGACAGAAGAATAGAAGAGTGAGTTCTGTTATGCTGTCAGTTCTGGTTTTTACAGTGTAATAATGAAATATTACCTAAGTTGGGGATCCAAGATGACAGGAACCAGAAAGACGGCAGCAGGATTGACAGGTTGCATGATGGTCCTCACTTATGGTGGTACAAATAGAGTAATTCTGGCTAGATATTTGCTCAGTGTTGGTATTTTTTCTAACTAGCTCTAACAAGACAATTTTAGCAGAGGAGACACAACCCATGTTCAAGAGTTAGGAGAGGATTCGGCTGCAGCTGTCCAAGAAAGGACATCCCTCCCTCTCACAACTGAGTTAGGAAACACGACAAGTTCATGCCAATGAACAATCCAATGCAAGTACCAATCAATTATAACACCTTTCATCAGGGTTTTCTGCCTTCAAATTCTCATCATTGAGATTGACATCCAACCGCCAAATTCCATCCCTTGAAAATGGCATGAATACCTTTTTGGCAAATTCAGGTCATCATGCAGCAAAAACAAGGCTGCAATTGAACTAAGCATACATTCAAGAACTCAGATAAGCTAACAAGAGTTTCTGTATCTTCTACTAGATTAGAGTATCCAATATATTAGCAGCGAGAAGTTCGACAACTGTCTGTGATTGTTCCAAAGCAAATGATGAAACAAGAAGCCGGCAGAGAAACTTGATTCCAAATAAACAATCACCAACAAGGATGCATCTAGACTAGATTTGTCTATTCTAGTACGTCAGATTATCGACACGTCGTTGCTGCAAGTCAAATGAGACTCATAAGAGAGCTATCCACGTAGGGAACTGACAGTGTTAAGCATTGTACAGTCAGTCTGATTCATTCTATCAATGATAATATATTATACAGCACCAGCCTGGAATTCGGACTTGGACAATTCTCATACGACTCATCCTACAAGAGATATCAACAAAGCTAATAGAAATTCTTCACACTAAAACAACAGAAAACGAAAGCCGCAAGCAAAAGTTAGACAACAACCAGCTAGAAGAAACTCAGTACTATCAGTAAAACATAACGGCTGCTTACTTGATAGGAAATGCAAAGAACAATCGATGGACGGTTTTTTAAAGCAGAATTCTTCTCATTAGCAACTCTTACGTCCATAAACAGAAACTGCAATTTCTCCCACTATGCTATAAGTTTACAACACCCATTATAGGAAGGAAAAAACTAACTTTGTAACCCAAAAGAGAAAGGAGCATATTAATGAAACAAATTTGCTTAAGTTAATATAAATGAGAGACAACAAACAACAGCAATTCATTCTACAGAGTTACCAAGCACAAAGGAGCTTAATTCACGAACTGGCGTGAACTCCACAACTCCAATATCCATAGCATACCCATTAACAGGCAACTTCAAGTCTCTGAGAACACAGAATGCATCCGCCATTCTCGCTTTGGGAACGTCTTGAGCCACAGCACAGTAAGGAACCCAAGCATCAGGCCTGTACTCTTCCCCGATCTCGATTCCTTCCTTCCTCATTGCATCACAGAGCTGAGAATGGAACTGAAGCAAAGAGAGCGAAGGCGTGGGGGCTAGAAAGAGGACATTGTTGTCTCTGGGGAGGGTGCCGATGGTGGAGAGAGACATAGGCAAAGGCTCTTGCCTTGCAGCAAAGCTCCTTATTACTGATTCCAGCTTCGTGGGGTCGATGTAAGGGTTGGAATACAGGGTTATATGAGGGCGAGACTCGATTTCGATGAGCTGCGTGCTGATTTGGCGGCGAGCTAGCACGTTCCAGGCTTTCAAGACCTGGTTTTCCAGCGCCGGGTCGAAGTAGAGCTCAATTGCATACCCCTGCTGTGACATTTGACTGCTGCTGCAGAGGCTGCCCGGAGAACTGAAATTCTGAAACAACCCAAGATCCTAACACTTGCCCGGATGATGAAAAGCGATGCTTCACTGATTTCCCCCTAAAATTGAAGGGAACCCTAATGGGAAAGGCGCGAGATTGGAAGAACCCAGCTGGGGGAAATTGGGCAAATCGAAGGGATGTTAAGTTACCCGAAAGAGGAAGAGGAGGAAATTGGGAAGGACCAGATTGTGAAAGATGAAGATGGAGAGCATGTGCAAAGGGATGGAGAGGCGGATTTTGGGGTTGCTAACTTGCTATGCAAATAGAAAGTGACAAAAGAAGAGACAGATATGGCGAGCGAGAAAGGAAGGTGGGGGAGTAAAAAGAAGAGCGAGAGACCAGCTGTTTGTGAAAGTGGCCGAGGAACAGTGAGATAGAGAGAGAGACTTTTGTTTTGATTGCGTTGCTCTACCAGGGAAATGGCGAGAGCATCGATGGTGGGAAAGCGAAGAGCCAAGCCAGGGAAGGGGAAAGAAGAGTTCTTTCCATTACAGCTCTTCCCGGTCAATGTTTTGAGTTCTGAATTCTCGATTTCTAGTTGACTCTGTTTTATTTATGCTTTATATAAAGTCTGTAAACAACAATAGGAATTACCTAAACTTCGGAATAAGGATTTGGATGATGTAGTAGAATTTAGCTGGGTTCTATTTGGGGTAGTTTGGTGTAACTTAGGGTTGTTTGGAAGTGAGATTTTAAATTATGTATTTAGTCAATATATGTAATTAAGATCATTTGACGTTTTTTCTTCAAATGAAATAAAATATTTGTATTTGACAGAAGATGAGACCACCAAATTATTTATTATAGATGACCGTCAATCTCGGCTAAAAACAGAGATGGTCAATCTCTCAAATTCTTTTTATTTTTATTTTTGAGTGACCACCAAACTTTTTAAGGTTCAAACACTGTATTTTTCAAATTAATACATTTAAATAATACATCTAATTAGAATACATAAATTGATTAAATGCATCAGAGAATTCTAATTACTAAACGTGGGCTAAATTTTTAGGTTAAAGAAAGCTGTAACTTCTCCTTAATGTCAATGTCATGCTTATAATTTATTAAATCTTACACGAAAATTCATTGTCAATATTTTATTTATCAAAATTAATTATTTAAATCCATATATCAATATATTTGCTCTAATATCATGCTTACCCACGCATAATATACGCGATTGATTTTTTGTTGTAAAGCACTTACATGATCTGGGATTGAATACCAATTTATGAATTGCATAAACATTCTCAAACTAATTTTATGTGGTATCAATATATTTACTTGTTTTACACTACTCGGAATCAAGAAAGTTAGTTCAGCTTCACATTTACTACACATTTCAATTCATCAAAAAATTTATTACACATGTGATTAATCAAAGTATAAAGATAAAGACTATGATTAATCACAATTCACAATCAATCTGAAAGGGACTCCACGCTTGCATTACAAATTTAATGACTTATCATATATTTGTTTGAAAGCTATATTGGCTACATATGCATCTCATTTGCCCACATTAGAGAACTGATAACTACTAGAGATAGAAAACAGAATCCATAGAGTCCCATAATTATTCACTTGTTTTGGGTGGATATTCAAATTTGTGTTTACAGTACAATGGAACCCGTACTTACATTTGGTATTTTCTTAAAAACTAAAAGGGTTAAAGACACATTTGGTCACTGAGATTACTAAATTAGAACATGTTTAGTCACTGTAAAAATTTAATATCAAATTTGGTCACTACAATTACTAAAACTGGACACATTTAGTCACTCGCCGTTAGTTGTCGTCCAACTCCGTTAAAAGACTCCGTTATGTGCTGACGTGGCTAACGTGAGCGCCTAGTCATCGCCGTTTTGGGCCGGAAATGGTCAAACCCGACCCGCCACGTCACTATACCCGCCACGTATTAAACCCAACCCAATCCATTAACCCAACCCGACCCAGAAACAAACCCTAACCCACCTAACCAGACCAGAGGCCACTTAAACAAATCAAAATTGATTTGTTTCCATTACAGACCCTTTTCCTTCCTCGAGCTCTTCCCGAGCTCTTCCCCTTCGCCATTTTCGATCAAACCAATCTGAGAGCAGAGAGCAGGGAGAGATGAAGCCATATTAACGCTCCACCTTCACCTCCACCATTTGCATTCTCCATCGCGTTGAACGGAGATCCGTAATCGGTGCTCTGGTTCGCGGGCCCGAAACCGTACATTTCCTGAGAATGGGAATCGAGGCCGCCGCCGCCGTTGTAGTCGGGAGAATTACCGGAGATGGGGTGCGACCCTGAAGGCGGGGGAGGGGGCGAGGAGGCGGAGAAGAAGCCAGCAGCAGAGGAGTCGTCGAAATGGTGGGAGGAATTGTGGTCGTGGTGGTGGGACATGAAGCCCTGGTCATCGTCGTCGACGAACGGCGGAGGAACGTGGGCGGCGGAGGGGAGGACCGGTTGTTCGCCTTCGACGCCGAAGGAATCAAAGGACGCCATTGGTGGAATTTGGAGGGGGATGTGGGAGAATTTGGGGAGTCTTGCCTCTGTTTTCTCTGTGTTGCTTCAGAGTCTGTTTGTTGTGTGGGAAAGAGTGGTTTTCTGCATTTGGATCGTTTTGTTCGGATCGTGATCTCTCTCTCTCTATCTGGCCCCTTCTTCCGATAACCGATTGCTGGGACAAAGGGGTCAAGGGGGTAGCGTTAATATGGCTTCATCTCTCCCTGCTCTCTGCTCTCAGATTGGTTTGATCGAAAATGGCGAAGGGGAAGAGCTCGGGAAGAGCTCGAGGAAGGAGAAGGGTCTGTAATGGAAACAATCAATTTTGATTTGTTTAAGTGGCCTCTGGTCTGGTTAGGTGGGTTAGGGTTTGTTTCTGGGTCGGGTTGGGTTAATGGATTGGGTTGGGTTTAATATGTGGCGGGTATAGTGACGTGGCGGGTCGGGTTTGACCATTTCCGGCCCAAAACGGCGCTGACTAGGCGCTCACGTTAGCCACGTCAGCACATAACGGAGTCTTTTAACGGAATTGGACGGCAACTAACGGCGAGTGACTAAATGTGTCCAGTTTTAGTAATTGTAGTGACCAAATTTGATATTAAATTTTTACAGTAACTAAACATGTCCTAATTTAGTAATCTCAGTGACCAAATGTGTCTTTAACCCAAAACTAAAAAGAAACTCACTGTAAAGTTTTCTTGGACTGAAAAAAGGCCTTATAGGAATATTAGAATCCGTGCAGAATAATGGTCGAGATTCTTGTTTATTTATCAGACACAATCCTCTATTTTCCACCAATCCAATCGCCAACAACAAGAACTAGAACAAGTCAACACTGCCAACATTGTTAATGTATGCTGGTCCAAATTACCCCAATCTGAAGAAGAAGAAGAAAAAACAATTCCAAACATAACTCTTGACATTACAGCATTGATATAGTTTTATTCACCAAAGGACTTGAAATTAACATAAAACATTGACGGCATAATAATGAACTTTATTAGTCACACGATTCATGGAATTCGAAGATATAGAGGAACGTGCTTTTCAAATTGCGGAGGCGCATCCCAGACACTGAATGCACTGGCGGAGTTCATCCACTTCTTGGTCATTTCAGGATAATGACGATCGATCACTTGTCGAAGAGACTCAGTCGTGTCCACCCATTCGAGACCCTTCTTTGTGTATGTTTCCTCGTCGTAGTGGCTCGTGAAGAACCTGTCAGCCTCCAGCCTCCTCGTAGCCATGATCAGGAATATGAAGAATGCAGTCTCGCTTATGGCGAACCCTTTGATCTTTCTCTCTGCCATGAGTCCGACTAGAAGATCCAGTTCTTCGATTCGATCGCCATAAACCTCAGTGAGCACTTGAATTGCTTCTTGGTCGTCCGTCAGATCTCCCCACTTCGATATAGGTATCATCAACATCCGTCTACGGAAGTCATTGTACCTCGCAACTTTTCGCTCCCTATCTCTAAAAACTACACAACATTGAAGCACATATGTGTTGGTAAAGCTACACAAGTTTGTTAATGTCCTGAGTCATGTGATTAGCCCATATACTTACCTTCGAGAGCTGGCAGGTCCACAAGATCGGGCCTATCCCTGCCATCTGGATCTTGGGGCACTACCTCCCTAAGCCAATTTGGGTAGTTCCATAGCTCAAGAGCCCCACAGGCCTGGTGGCCCATGGACACCATTTGCTTAGTGAACCCAATTTCTGACAAAGCCTTGTCTCCCTTCGAGCCTATCAACTCCGACATGGGCAGCCTGCATATCCAAACAACAAACCACAAAAACATCATTACAAGAACCTCCTTATACAGATTTAGCTCAAGAAGATCACAAAGATGGAAGTTGAAACAGTACTTTTCAGCCACAGGAAGGGACTCTTTGGAAGCTGCTGATTCTTCTTCATCAGTACTTGATGAAATGTCCCTGATGAGGAATTCGTCAGGCAAGAGCGGGTGCAATCTGTAAACGCTGACGAACTCCTCGGTTAGCGAGTATGGAACTCCATGATTCTCCGACTTCTTCATGCCAACAATACCTCCAAGTATATCGTTTCCGATGTGGCCAAATGTGTCCTTGAACCATTTCCCCAGAAGTCCATACCAGTTTAGTCGCATCGCGGCTAACAGTGTATCCGTCTTCAAGAGTTCGACGGTCCAATCGATGGTGTGTATCTTGGCTATCACGGCAGAAGTCACCACTCTTGCTCGTCTGTATAGTTCTTCATCTCCCAAGTCCGGGTACTCTTTCTACATGCCCAACCAACATTTTTCAGTGAAGACATGTCTCAGTTACATGTACACAAAAGTTTTAGTAGTATATATAAAATTATGGTATCTATCGAATTTAGTTATCAGCATACAGACCTTGAGCATGTCACAGACAGCATTGTGCTCTTTGATGAAAAGGGCCTGCAGGGTTGTGGTGCCAATCCAAGTACCACGAATGTCTCCTGATATGGCCAACCCTTCTTCGTCATGCTGAAGAAGACCATCTTCACCTATCTTCAGCTTCCCATCTGTCAACTCTCTCACTTTCTGTCCACTTTCCGCATCACTCCCATAGATCACACTTGCATCCCTGATGGTCATGATGATCAAGTTTAATTAATATTTTCCCCATTTCCATAACTTTATATATCGAAGAATCGTAATCAATGATGCATATGTGGCTTAAACAATTGATACTAATGACCCTAATGATAGCAGTATTTAATCAATTACCACCAAGATGTGCGCCTATTGAGTGTGCCAGTGTTGATGTCTTTGGAGCCAGTTGGAAGTTCCTTAGTGGCATAGAACTTGAATGAACTGAGAGGGCACTGGCCTGCGATTTCTTTTGGTGCACTCAGTTCTATCTATATAAAAAAAAAAACCACCAGAAAACAACTCATTTGTAACAAGTTAACAATCAAAGAAAAAATTGCAGTGGGTAATTAACTATAGCTAGCTAGCTGATATAAATAAAAGACCTGCTTGGTATCTTCTAGATGATCAACCCAGTCGTGGATCATGAACTGAATCCAAGAAGCTGCAACCATGTTGAACTGTTTCCCTGTGTCCTTGTATTTCTCACCAGATCTCCTTGCTAGCAGCTTCGTAGCCACTACGGCAGGATGTGGCGTTATCACCTTGAACATATATAATAAGTGAATCTCTCAAGTGTTTGGTCCAGTGGTATTATTATTGATTTAAACTCGGCATTTTACATGCAACCATACCTTGTCTTCAGCAGAGGGCATCATGTTTCTTCCAAAGAAAGTGTTCTGCCCGCCTGCAACTCCATTGAAGGGATCATTATACCTTCCGTCTTCCGTCCTGTAAGGATAATCGGCCGGGTCGAAACCGTCGCCGGGGAGCTGCCCACCGACGTTGAGCAAGTTGTGGACTTGGTGAAGGTGCCGACGAATCGCCAGGTAAGCCAGACCCAAAATCACCGGCAGCTTGTGCCACAGGTTCTTCTTGTCCACGGAGTGCACAATCTGCATGCAGAAAAAGAAGAGTGAGAAATACAATGATGGTTGATCGTCGGAAGGTTTGAACCTACAACAAATGACGATGATGATGTCGGTTTTGTGTGTGTTAAATTACCAAGAAGCAGAAAGCATCGAGGACTGACATCTTAGCAACGACTCCATGGAAATCCTGGTGGATGAATTTAGTGATCACGTCTTTGCACAACTTTGAAAGGACACACATGGTGTGTCTCTCTGTCTCTCTTGTAGCTGGGGGATTGGTATGGAATGGAACAATATACTACTACTGAGTACTGCTTGTGGATGTTATTATGAAATGGAAAGAGTCGATATTTATAGGCTAGGGAGAAAAGGGGATGGATCGACAAGTACTCAATTAATGTACTTTTTCAGTTTTTCTGGTCTAGCTAGCTAGAAGCTTTTGCTAATTTTACCAATCTTGTCAGAACCGAACCGGAGCATGACCCGGTAATGCGAACGGCTCGCACTTTAGCAGTCCAACCGGCATTAGACCGTTTAAAAACCGTTAGAGAACCGGTATCTAATAAACGTTATCAGTATAAATAGCGGACATTTCTTAATCAGAGCTCATCTCTTACTTCGAAATTGTGAAATGGAAATAAGGATTCAATTTGAGAGCCCGACGTTTTTGGTTTATTTCAATTTTCTACAATTTTTTTAATTAAATTTAGTGGCTGAATGGCAAAAACCGGACGAGTGGCTCGATCGGCTCGAACGGTTAACCGCCTCGGCCGCTCGCCAACCGCTACATAAAACCGGAGCGGCTTTTAGACTATTCCGAGCCGGTTTTGTGACCGGGTGGTGGTTTTACCGGTCGGGCCGAGCGGCTCGGCTCGGCTTTAATAACACTGAATTTTACTCTATAGTTTAATTTACGTCTTGACTCATGGAGTGAAATGATTAACAACAACATCGAGTAGGTTGACTACATCATCGTGGCGGAATGAGCTCGGCCGGGGCTCAAGATAGGGTGCATAATCATGGGTCATGCACCCATCAATAACCAAATCTGGACTCTTCATTTAGAAAATCCAGATCTAAAGATTGAGAATTAAAGACCATTTTTATTTTCTTAGCTTTCTTAATTGGCTCATATCTTTTTCGTTTTAACTCGGATTTTAATTTTTTTTGCACAGATGGAACCAGTTCATCGTGCTCTACAAAATGAGATCAATTTCCAATATTTTTTGTGAAAAAAATTATGGCCTCTCGGTACCAACTGCATACCATATGGTATTTTCTTCGTTTTTAATTCATTTTTGAAAACGTTTACACAGAAGGGACGAGTTCATCATGATCTATTGGATCTACAAATTTCAGGGTGGACAAATTACAGGACCAAAAAAATACCACACAATACCATACAATACCACCCTGGTACGGGGTGGTATCTTGTGGTACACAATGTTAAAAGTCGTAAATGACAGTTAATATATTTCTACTATCATGTATTCAACCATCCTACAGTCGTGGTTTGTTCATACCACCATGGTACGCTTTTCAAACCATAGGTATGCTCTTATTTCAATACTAGTCAATACCATATGGTATAGACTGGTAAAAAATTGCTCAATTTTTTTGTTCGAAAAATATATCAAAGTGAATATCATTTTGAAGAGCACAATTAATCTAATCTAGCTGTGCAAAAAAAATTAAATTTCGACTTAAAACGAGTGAGAAATCGTTCGTCAAAGATTAAGGAGGGAAATTAAAGGCTTTCCAGAAAAGAGGTGATGCTGATGTTGACGGGTTACTCATGGTTATTCACCATAAGGTTACTGACCTGATCCGTTCCCCTCCACCGGTGCATAACTTGAAGTTCATGCTCATAACACTTTCTTTCTTAACTCATTTTATATTAAACTAGATATTTTGCAAATAATAAAAAAAAACATGAATTGTTGCATATCCATTTTGATAAGTAGATTTTTTTTTTACGATGGTTGTGAGACAGAACACAATTAATTGGTAACACTGTATCTTAGGATTGTCCTGCTATGGTCGTAATCTGATAAATTCATTTTTTTTCCAAAGTATATGCACACGGATTTAATCTTATAGAATTTTAAAATAAGTTCATCCCAATAATTCAAGTTATTGAGAGAGGTCTAATTATAGATCTAACATCATTTACTAATACAACTCTCAAACGAAAGTCAATTCATATGCGTTTGAAATTTGCACATGTTCAAATACCACGCGTGTTTAACAAATGGGAGATCGTCAGAATTCGAACACAAGACCTCACGATTGTCGAAGTCTCTGATACTATTTCAAGAACCATTTAGTCCTAATTACTCAAATTATTTAAATCAATTGGTTTATAGTATGATATCCGAGTGTGGTTACAATACATAGACCTATAGATTATGAGCCGAATTACCGTACTTCTTGATTTATGACAGAACACAAGTAATTTAACTTTTTTTTTGGAAAAAAATATAGCGCAGTGTGCATACTTTAGTTTACTTTGAGAGCATCAAACAACAATCATTTTTAATAATACTATATTTTTTACTTATTCAGTTAAACGATTAGCTAGGGTGGGAATCAATCAACTATATATAAGCCACTCTTTTTTCCTTTACTTTTACGTGAAGAATAAGTAATCAATCGTTTATTTTATTCTTTATAATTTATCAAAGTAACATAATTGTAGCTTTGCGTGTGAATCGATCACTCAAAGGATCGTTGTCGTTTGGTCAATGCATAATCGATCATGTTGGGGATAGAGTATGTGATAGTATTAATTAGGTCCATTGTCATGATAGAGCAAACACGAGTTTAGGTTTTGTTATAAACACTTGCATGCATCCTAATTTTGTACGAATTTTTAGCATCGGACGCAACCCATGTTCCTGAGTTAACGAGGATGATTCAGCTGCAGCTGTCTAAAAAATGACGTCAAGCATCACAACTGATTTACGGCAGCCGACAGGTCTTGCCAACGAACAAAGCCAACAACATTAGGTATCAATCAGTTTGATGAGTGTTCTATACAACAAGCATATTATTCTTATCGTTAGTTAATTAGTTACCTTGTTAGGCTCTTTGTTATTAGCGTTACTTAGCTATATAAACTACGTTGTGAATCATTTGCCCTTTGTTGCGAGTTAAACATGCAACCTATAATTGTAATCTTTCATCCGATTTTTTCGTATGCAAGTTCTCAACAGTTAAGTTGATATTCAAATCCTCTCGTACATACGCATCATCCCTTAAAATGACATGTTGAATATCTTTTCTGCCATACTACATAGAAATGTCTCATGCATGAATAATGTGGTTAAATGATTATAAATTAATTCACAATTTTTAGTGTTTCTAGTAGATTTAATGGATCACGTTATGCTCTCCATTGCCTAGAATGATTTGTTGTGAATAATCTTTCATAAGTATGAATCAATTCTCCCCAGGCTTATAATGATTTCTAATGAGAGTGACAACCATCAAATTAAAGAACGAATGAGGGATAAAAAGATAGTTGTAACAATGATTTCTATCTTATGACTGTTATAATCTCCATCTTAGCATAGTTGTAACAATGTCTTACGACCATGAACCATTATAACACTATATCTTAGACAGCCATCTTAATCCTATATTTTATGACAATTGTTCCACTATCTTACGACCATAGTAAAACAGTCTTGCAATGGTCATAAATTGGATATCAAAATGGACATGGCGGTCATGCAACATGGAGTTGGGGTGCGTAACTTGGGTAAAAAAAAAGTTAAAACTGCATGTTAGAAGAAATGAGATATCACAGTTATGCAACATGGCATGCACAACTTTAGTTTATGCACTTGCTCCTTTCTTGTACATCACACAATAATCATTCTTAAAAGTGTTATACTTATTTACATATTTACGTTGTACCTTGTATGAATCGATCACGCAACTGATCGTTGTCTTTGGTACAATAAGTGAGGATAGAGTTAGGTAGTACTACCAATAATTATTAATGAGAGCACCAACCATCAAAAGAATTATGAAGAACTTTTCAACAAACAAACAAATAAAAATTGAAGAATCAAAAACATCATTTCAAAGGTGCCCTGATATAAGGTGTTATGAGGAAAGTTTACTCGTCTCAGGAAAGTAGGTGCAATATTGTATGAATCACATAAATAGAGCACATGGTTGAGTGTATTTTTATCCCTTAAAAAATGGTTGAGTCATTAGCTGTATTTTTATCTTTAGGATAAACGTGAGGCACGATTCATATTCTATTAGAACATTTTATCCATTCATCTGCCAACGATAAAGCTATGGAAGCTATTAATACGATATATTACAAATTATAGACACTCTCCACATATCTTAAAGTCCTGGAAGAAACCTTAAAAGAATTTTCAAGTGTTGATCCACGTTATATATGTTTGATTATAATAGCTCAGAGATTCTTATTATTTATCTCACATTCTCTGTTTTTCCCCAATCATCTCATCTACAAAATTACAACAAGTACAGGGACAAGTGAAACACCAGCAGTCTACCAGTATAACATTGTTCCTGCTGGTCCAAATTACCCCAATCAAAGAATTTCAAACATCGTATCGCACACAACATTTCTGCTAGCTTTTATTTATGAAACAACAGGAAACCAGTAATAACAGCTAGAGATGTCACATAAATCCTGGAATCCGGAGATAGAGAGGAATCCAGCTTTGGGGCTGTGGAGGCGCATCCCAGACAGTAAATGCACTAGTAGAGTTCATCCATTTCTTGGTCATTCCAGGACAATGGCGATTGATCACATCTCGAAGAGACTCCGTTGTGTTCACCCATGCGAGCCCTTTCTTTGTGTACGTTTCCTCGTTGAAGTAGCTCGTGAAGAACCTGTCGGCCTCCAGCCTCCTCGAAGCCATGAGAATGAATATGAAGAATGCAGTCTCACTTATGGCAAATCCTTTGATTTTTTTCTCTGCCATGAGGCCGACTAGAAGATCTAGTTCCTCAATTCGATCACCATAAACCTCAATGAGCACCCGAATGGCTTCCTTGTCGTCCGTTAGGTCTTCCCATTCCGATATAGGTATCATCAACAGGCGTCTGCGGAACTCATTGTACCTCGGAACTTTCCTCTCCCTGTCTCTATATACTGTACAAAGAACATAATATGAAGATACGTTGGCAAGCAGACACATGCCAGATGATATGATGGAGAACTGTGATTCTTTAGCAAGGATAATTAATTATCTTACCTTCAAGGGCTGGCAGGTCCACATGATCAGGCCTGTCTCTGCCATTGGGATCCTCGGGTATCATGTTCCTAAGCCAATTGGGGTAGTTCCATAGCTCAAGAGCCCCACAGGCTTGATGGCCCATGGAGACCATTTGCCTAGTGAACCCTATTTCTGATAAAACCTTCTCTCCATTTGCCCCTATCAACTCTGGAAGCGGAAGCCTGCCCAAGAAAAAAGCACAAAACATCAAATACATCACAAGAAGTCATTGACTCATTGTATAATTTGATGTGATCAGGGAGAGATAAAGGAGAACGATACTTTTTGGCTACAGGTGGAGATTCGTTGGGAGCTGGTTCAGTTGAAATGTCCCTAACAAGGAATTCGTCAGGTAAAAGTGAGTGCAGTCGGTATACACTGACGAAATCCTCTGTTAAGGAATATGGAACTCCATGATTTTCTGGCTTCTTCAAACCAACAAGACCTCCCAGTTGAGCATCTCCGATGTGGCCAAATGTGTCCTTGAACCATTTCCCCAGGAATCCGTACCAGTTTGTTCGCATTGCAGCGAGTAATGTATCAGTTTTCAGGAGCTCGACAGTCCAATCAATGGTGTGAACCTTGGCAATCACAGCAGCTGTCACCAATCTTGCCCGCCTGTATAGTTCCTCATCTACCATCTCTGGATATTCTTCCTGAAAACCAACATTTTTCAGAGATGGTGTTTCAGTATCAGAGACACAAGTTTTACTATAGAGTTCTGTTGTTTCAACATATTACCTTGATCATGTCGCAGACAGCATTGTGCTCTCTGACGAAGAGAGCGTGCAGGGTAGACGTGCCAATCCAGGCACTACGAACGTCTCCTGATAAAGCCACCCCATCTTCATCATGGGGTAGAAGACCATTTTCAGCTATCTTCAGCTTCCCATCTTTCAACTCTCTCACTTTCTGCAACCTTGTTGCATTTTGTCCATAGATAGCACTTCCATCCCTTCACCCAGAATGCAGCAGCACCTTTACGATGAGATTTACTTGGCCGAATTGAAACTCAAACGAAAAACAGGAGATGGTTCAGAGGATTATTAGTATTTACCACCAAGATGTACGTGAGTTCAGGGTACCAGTGTTGATGTCTGGGGAACCAGTTGGGACTTCCTTGGTAATGTAGAACTTGAAAGAACTCAGAGGGCATTGGCTAGCGATCTCTTTTGGTGCTATCAGCTCTGTCTAAATAAAAGAAGAAGGCAGAATTCATGAGAACCAGAAATAAGTTACTAGCTTGGAAGTAGTTCAGTATCAGAAAGAAGTAACATTATTTGATTTGACATATAAATTACAAAGCTTTCCATCCCTATTCTGTAAAACATAATTATAAAGTAGTCTGGACCATATAATTTATTTAAAATTTATGTCAATAATTATAAAATTCTATTTCGCTTCTAAAGTTTTAATTCTAGAATATTTCAGTCATTTGTCTCTGAACCGAAAGACCATTAGAAATCTGAAGTCCAAATTAGTCAATTGTCCAAAAACCATTAAGAATTACGGTTTTATTGATTTATTAATGGTTTTCAGTTTTAACGTAAACCGAAGCCGTTAAGCGCTTAGTAATTTTTATCATTAAGGAGAACCGATATGTCTGTAAAACCATTTCGGTTAAAACCAGAAAATCAAAACCGAATCAACACACTAGAACCATCTAAAAAATAGTAGACCATTTGTTCAATCGTCATTATTTACATATGTAAATAATATACACCAACCTAAAAAACAATAAAAAGTTGTTGGTAACTTTTATTGTAAAACACACTTCGACTTTTATTACTAGTTTAGGTTGTCGCCAACTTGTTCAACTGACCTTTTACTAATTGAATTGAATGGTCTCCAGAAAATACTAAGAACATTAATTTGACACTTACAATGATCATTTCACGCCACAAAATAAGTAGCTGATCGGATTAGGTGCCTAAGCACCAAGTTGATCAAAACTTAAACTTAGTTTGATGAAGATCCAGGGGCAACCATTAGAAAACAATATTCATTCAGCCCTTCCTAGTCTCAAGTAATCCACGCCGATAAACACGCTCACACAACACAAGGAATTCAGCAAAATGGTGACAATACTTTTTTTTGGCGAATTTTCTGTATTAAGGTGCTTCGAACTAATTTGCTATAGTTTGATTGGGATGATAGGTGAGCAGCTTTCAGAGAATCTATGCCAAAGATCACCAACTCGCAACTCCACTTATCATTGGACAGGAACTAGCCTTCTTCTAACCCACCAATTAAGAAGGAAAAACGTACTAGATAAGATCAAATGAATTTCCACTGGTTGACTCTGTCGCCATATATCAGCCAACGCATAAATCTTCCTAACATTCACACTCTCTATATTCTAATACAGGAAACACATAAAAATGGTATCTAAAACAAGAAGATTTAGTAAGATATATCTATCCGTATCTATCTATGTATAATATATACCTGCTTGGTATCCTCCAAATGATCAATCCAGTCGTGGATCATGAACTGAATCCAAGAAGCTGCAACCATGTTGAACTGCTTTCCTGTATCCTTGTACTCTCTCCTTGCCAGTAGTTTTGCAGCCACCACAGCAGGATGTGGTGTTATCAACTACAACAACAAAATAGGAAACTTTGATCAGAAAATGGTAAAAACAAAGCCAGCCTACTAAATCTACACTACTCTTTTTTCTGCCATGCATGCAAAGATGACATATGTACGATGCCTGAGTTTCTTTGTCTAAGGTTACTGTACCTTATCTTTCTGATCAAGAGGCATTACATTCCTGCCAAAGAAAGAGTTTTCACTGCCGGCAAACTCATTGGAGGGATCATTATACCTTCCATCTGCTGTCCTGTACGGATAGTCAGCCGGGTTGAAGCCTTCACCGATCTGGTGACCAACATTGAGCAAACTATAGACGTTATGAAGGTGTCTACGTATTCCCAGGTAACCGAGACCCAAAATCACAGGCAGCCTGTGCCATAGACGCTTCTTGTCAATGGAATGTACAATCTGCAGAGAAACAATCAAAACACAAGAATGGGGTTATCTCCATTAATGAGTAAGACACGGCTATTATTAGCATGGACACATAGGATATCAACTATGGAAGGACATTTTTTCTTTTACACAGAAAAGGAAAGCATCAAGCACTGTCATCTTAGCCACAGCCCCATGGAAATCCTCTTCGATAAACTTAGTGATCAAGGTTTTGCAAAACCTAGTAAATACAGAGGACATGGTTTATCTGTTCAGTGGCAATTCGGTGTAGAACAGTAGGTCAAGTAGATGCCCATCAAATGGATGATGCAAGAATCAATTTATAGCAGATAAACAATGAGATAAGCACTCCAAATAGATTAAGTTTTCTTGTCAACTGAACCAAATGGATGTCATAGTTTAAACAGTGCAAGTATCAATTTGTACAAACAAAGAGAGAAGCACCCACCTTACCTTAGTGTCAATTTTCTTGTCAAGTGAACCAGATTGTATAAAAGGAAAGAAAAGGTGCAAAAGTCAACATGTAGAGAAACACGAGGGAAGCACCCCAATTAAATATGGTCACAGCAACGCTTAGGTGGTGAGCTCAGTTAACAGCTGCAGTTTACCTTTGGGTCAATGGGATGACGGGGAGGGATGTAAAATTGAGAACATAAAAATGAGTAAAAACCAGAGTGGTGTCTCAAGCATGCGAGTAATACCTGCTGATACTAAACCGAAGATCCACCTGGGTAATTAAAGGAACAGTTAACCATACTATGTCAGAGAGCATTGCATGGTGAGAAGAAATGCAGTGAATAGTGAGACTGAGCTGTTAGGACGACATGGAAACATTCACCAAATCATGGATACGAATCTGTGATTAATTGGGATAATTTTCAGTTTTTCACCAGGTTCATCTGTCTTATTCTACACGTTGGACACCAAACAATCATCAAACGATAAAATATTTATAAGACGTGGCTGATGTAGCTAATTACATCCAACTAGAAGGATCCCAATTCCCCATTGACAGAGGAAGCAAAGATACAATAGTTGATTAACAGTTCGCAATTAGGTCTGGAGGATCACGATTCACGACCCATGACCCATGAATCACAAGGTATTATTATTATATTAAACAAAAATCCTTACCGTTCACGTATAAAGAAACCTTTCCCCGAAAGCAACTGAAGTCCGAATTCTCGAAACTCCAATTTCATTTAGACATTTTCGCGAACACCTACCATGCAGTTTGGGAAAACATGACCCGGAAAGGATCTCTAAAGACCCCCAATGTCAGGTTCCTACGTTCACATTGTCAGATAAGCGAACAACTAAAATTGAAAGAAACGGCTTTCCAGCTTTCTTCAAGCAACGAAACAGGGCACTGATTCACGTAGAAATAGACTAGAGACTGTACCTGTGTAAATGCTAAGCCATAACGTAGCTCGGTGGCGACGGATTTTATAGAAAATCCTCATTGATGTCTTCCATAATCGAGCCTTCAATACACCACCAGGAAGCTTGGTAGGAATGAACGCTACCGGTTGACGGCGGAGTCCTGAGAGACCGACGGAGTTCCGCCCGGCAAATGTGTTCGATCGGAGACGCGCCGTCGAGTCTGGCTTCCGCGCGCGATTTTACAATAATAAAAAATGGACAACGGGCTTAATGTCCTTGAGTGCAGGCCTAAGGGGAGGAAAACAGAAAAGAGACGGCGGGCTTAATACCTTTATAAGGCGAAGGCCCACTAACAGGACCAAAATTATGAAGCCCAAATGTTCCTACATCTTCGCCTTCGCCTTCGCAGTTCGCATCCTCCATTCTCCGTCGCGCCTCCCTCCCGTCAATTGATTTTACTCGGGCTCCGACCTTGGTAAAGCCCTAGCTAGCTACCGACTCGGAGGTCACCGGCGAGATGACGAGAACCAGGAAGCGATCACGAAGGGACGATTCCGAACCAACCAACGCCGGTGACACGTCTCCAGACGATGCCGCTCCTCAACCCTCCACTACTATTCACGCTGCCGAGTCTCCTCCCGCCGCCGCCAACGGCGATGCATCTCCTCGCCGTGGCAGGGGGAGGCCTAAGAAGTCCTCGAAACGCAAGGATAGGGTGGCGGAACCTATGTCCCCTGAGTCGGAGAGGCGGCTGACTCGGCAGCAGCAGGCCGCCGAGCAGAATGGACACGTGAACAGCTCCGTTGGTCCTGGCCCTGAGTGGGAGACTGTGGTTCGAGTGGTTCCGGCCATGGATGCTGTCGTGAAGGTGTTCTGTGTTCATACGGATCCGAATTTCTCGCTTCCCTGGCAGCGGAAGCGGCAGTATAGTTCAAGCAGCAGTGGGTTTATCATTGGTGGAAGGAGGGTGCTGACAAATGCGCACTCCGTGGAGCATCACACCCAGGTGAAGCTCAAGAAGAGGGGTTCTGATACTAAGTACTTGGCTACTGTTTTGGCCATTGGAACCGAATGTGATATTGGTATGTGTTAGAAGTTCTTTGCTTTTTAATTTCTATTTCTAGCTGTGATGTCTCAGCTTTGTGTTGCAACTTACACACATCCAGCTATCATCGATGAGCTTGATTGTCTGAGCTGTTGCTGTACAATTAAGTTTGACTCCGAGCAAGCCATTACAGAAGTTCTGTTTGGGTTGATATCTGTGTCATTTGTTATTTGCTTGTTAATGGTGATGCATAGAATTTGATTTTCTTCTTTTATGGAGGAAGTGGTTGGAATTATATAATAATAATTATGTTTCTATTGTTTATCGATCTTGCAGCATTGTTGACTGTCAATGATGATGAGTTTTGGGAGGGTGTTACACCTGTCGAGTTTGGAGATTTGCCTGCACTTCAAGATGCTGTGACTGTTGTAGGCTACCCCATCGGGGGTGATACAATCTCTGTGACAAGTGGTGTTGTTTCCCGTATAGAGGTACTGTCTTACGTCCATGCGACTACCGAGCTTCTAGGACTGCAGGTTCTTATCTCTGCCTTTGTGATGCCATTATTCTGTTTTTGTTATTGTCTTTCAAAAAATAGGTCACTAACTGTTTGAATGTAATCAATCATAGATAGATGCAGCTATAAACTCTGGAAACTCTGGCGGGCCTGCATTCAACGACAAGGGAAAGTGCGTTGGCATTGCATTTCAGTCTTTGAAACATGATGATGCTGAAAATATTGGCTATGTCATACCGACACCAGTTATCAAGCATTTTATTGGTGATTATGAGAAGAATGGGGTTTATACAGGTACCTGTCCCTCTTTCTGGAGCATTATTCTCAACAAACTTGATGAAATTATAGAATGAAACGTGCTAGCATAGTGAGAATATAGCTTGGATTAGTTTCCGATGGTTTCTGCTGATGTGTGTTTCTCTTTCACCTCTACTTATCTTGATAGGATTCCCTGTTCTTGGGATTGAGTGGCAGAAGATGGAAAATCCTGATTTGAGGGTAGCAATGGGAATGGCATCTGATCAGAAGGGTGTCCGTGTTAGAAGAATTGAGCCAACTGCTCCAGAATCTGAAGTCTTAAAGTCATCTGATATTCTCCTTAGCTTCGATGGGGTAAAGATAGCAAATGATGGAACAAGTAATAATCTTAGATTTCTGAACTCATGTCAGGATCATTTCTGAAAACAATCTTTTTATTTCTCTTGCTATATAGTGTATTATGATCTGAAATAAGTATGTGCTCAAAGGCTGCTTACCATTGCTTTGGTAATTGGCAGTTCCTTTCAGAGATGGAGAACGCATAGGATTCAGTTACCTAGTTTCTCAAAAATACACTGGTGACAAGGCTTTGGTGAAAGTTTTGCGTGATTCTAAAGTACTTGAGTTCAAGATCAAACTTCAACCACACAAGAGGCTCATTCCAGCACACATAAATGGAAAACCTCCTTCCTATTACATTGTTGCTGGATTTGTTTTTTCTGCTGTATCAGTTCCATATTTGCGCTCAGAGGTAAATTGCAATTTTAAGCATATTGACTTGGCTATCTTAATGGAAACACTGTTGTAATCAACATATGACTTAATTTCTTGATTAGTGTGGTAAATGGTTTGTGTCTCTTAAAATTTGGAAGCTTCAACCCTTGTTGATACCTGACTTCAATATCTGCACTGTACTCCTCTAGTATGGAAAGGACTATGAATATGAAGCTCCAGTGAAGCTATTGGACCGGCATATGCATGCAATGGCTGAATCTCCAGATGAACAGCTAGTTGTTATCTCACAGGTATAGTCTCTGCCATCTTCCTGAAAGGGCAATTAGTCATTTTCTCAAGTCTCACTAGAGATATGTATGCTTGTGAAATTGGTACTAGGTACTTGTTGCTGACATCAACATTGGATACGAGGATATTGTCAACACCCAGGTACCATTGTTTAAAAATTATTCTCGGTATTTCTCTAGCAAGCTTTGAAATGAACTTTAGTAAGCTTATTGTTTTGTTGGTTGTAATAGGTTATTACGTTTAATGGGAAACCTGTGAAGAACCTGAAGAGCTTGGCGAACATGGTGGAAAGCTGCAAGGATGAGTATTTGAAGTTTGAGTTAGAATACCAACAGGTGGTCGTTTGCTCTCTCTCTCTCTCTCTCTCTCTCTCTCTCTCTCTCCATCCATCCATCCATAACAAAACCCCGATAACTTGTTATTGATTCGTTGACCTGTTTTGCTAGGTAGTGGTTGTAAAAACAGAGACGGCGAAGGCTGCAACATTAGATATCCTTGCAATGCATTGCATACCTTCGGCAATGTCTGATGATCTGAAGCCGTGAAAGAGAAAAGCAGTGGAATTTGGCTTGTCATGGTAAACAATGATGTTGGTATGTACCATTCATCCCCTCCCTTTTCCTCCCTTTTCTTTTGCCTAGGAAGCTGGGATAGCTAGTTTCGGGCCTAGGTGGTGTTACTTGTTTCTGAAGCCACACTATCTTCTTAGAATGCAGATGAGATACATGACTAATTGAGATAGTATCTTATGTTGTTCACATCTCTACAGAGGAAAATATAATTGGATTTTAACAGTGAGTTATCATGTTAAATGATTTTTTTTAGTTTTAAACTCTTTGTTGTGGGAAGCTGCTTCCAACTTTCTGTCAGCTACTTTTTGAGCTTTAGGATCAAGTTTGCGCCAGCTTGTTGAGCTTATGGGCTAGCAAATGGATCGTTGGATTGTTGATTGTGGGGTTGTAATATTTTAGAACTTATCAATTGTAATTTACATGGAAGATTCTACATCGTAGCATCGTGCTCGTAGGATCAATGCAGATGGGGGAAAATGTTGAAACTCAGGCAAACTTTAGTCCGCCATAAACTGCCCCTGTTCCTAGGTAGCTTACAGTAATGGAACCTTATCTGCATTGCTGCTGCTACTATGGTCATCGGCATTCTGCTCTGTTTTTGCGGTGCCATCATCGTTTTGGTCTTTCAACTTTCCCCACATGAACATGTAGAAGCCGATGGATATGGCTGTCCCTCCGAGGAGACTGGCAAAGTAGGAGAGTACAATCATCCAAATTGAAAAGTTGTGTTCATTAATGAGATTGACCAAAGGAAGATCTTAGTTTGAATAGGTATATACTAGGTTGGTAAGTTACCTTCCAAGATGCAGAGTATCACCTAGCAGCATTACGCCCATGGCGACAGCGATCACCATTCCAAACGGAAGGAACATGTTAGCAAAAACGGGTCCCTTTATCGGCAGCACCCATGCTTCAGCGGCATTGTTCAAGCACGATCCAAACCCCCCCTGTTATTTTTAGTACAATTACTCAAACCATAATCGACCGAAGAATAGAATCTATGATCCTCCATTGATATCATTCCTTCATTTGAGTACATAGGTTTCCCATTCAAATGGTTTGATGTATTTTCCCGCGGTACTTACTGTGCAAATGATTGAGGCTAGTGCGGTGTTTGAGCTCATTATCCAAGCACTCGAGGATGTTCCTTCAGCAAACAGAGCAACAACTACACTTATAATGCTTACAAATGTGTTGTAGATGAAGATTACTGTGAGCTCTGAAGGGTAGTCGCTCATTATCTGTGTCTGCCAACAATGAACAAATCCCCCAACCCCACAAAAAAATTGTTAGTTGATTTGTAACTGGGGTATCATTAACATTGTCGGAGTTCATGAATATGAAGTTATGAACACTCTATATTCATACCATGAGAATCGTCCACAAAGTACCCAGTGCATAATGCAGAGTGATCAAACTGCCACCAAGAACCCAGTTTTGTGCTGCTGTGGAATGAACAAGAGAATGGTTGAGTCGAGATGATGATGCCGACGGGGTGATACAGATCGGCGGACCTTGGTAAAATGTTATGACGAATGCGCCTGCTATTGACACAGTTGTGCCCAATATTTTGGCCTGGCTGGATCTTCTTCCCATTACAACTGTCTCCATCCTTTATTCCCCAAAGGAAACAAGTTACAAAGGAGCCAGAGATGCCTTTTTGATGAATGGAGGGCTTGGAGAGTTTAGTTTTACCCAAACATGACGGCAACTATGAATGTAAAAGCTGGACAGAGGTTGCCAATGGCGGACGACAGGGTTGGAGAACTGTAATAAAGGCCCGTGAAGCCTGTCAGCCGGGACGAGCTTCTGCATACGATAAACATGTCTGCACGTTATAACGTGGGTTACTGGGATGAATGATCGAAATGCGTGATGAAGTATCTCAATTTTCCCAGAAGAAAGTTACCCTGCGAGTGCCAGAAGGCCGATTCTGCACAAGATTGGTATGGTCAGGGGAGGAACGTCAACAGCTCTTGGTGATGAACTGCGAATCGAAATGATGCATCCGAACAAACCCAAAAGATTATGTTACTCGAACTTGTGGGGGGAACTTGCAGAATTTCCAGAAGTGAAGAAATTAGCAGAAGAAAACCTGTGGGAAAAGAGAGTAGGAAGGAGAAGGAGAAGAGAGGCGATTCCATAGCTATAGGCGACAGAGACGTAAGGGCTCATGCCCTCCATTGTTGCGGCTTTGAAGAGTGTGTTTATCCCAACCGTGGAGAATTGCATACCCACCATCACTGAATATGTCAGCACTTCCCTTTGGAAGTGATGGCTTCCTCTCATTTTAAGTTGTTACTTACCACAACAAGAACTGGAAGTTTATGGGATTCTGTTGTTGCTGAAGTCTTTTATTATCATTGCTTTTTTTATTTGCTAATGGTGATATAAATAATATTGGGTAAATGTCACATTTGGTCATTGAGATTATTAAATTGTGTTATGTTTAGTCACTAGAAAAAATTAATATAAATTTTGGTCACTCCAATTACTGAAACATGTCATATTTAGCCACTCTTCCGTTAGTTTCTTTCCAACTCCATTAACGGAGTTGGACGGAGGCTAACGGAGAGTGACTAAATATGACATGTTTCAGTAATTCGAGTGACATTCATAAAAAAAAAAGTAATTCAAGTGACCAGAGTTGAGACGGCGACTGACAGGAAAGTGACTAAATATGACATGTTTTAGTAATTTGAGTGACCCAAATTGATATTAACTTTTTTTAGTGACTTAACATATCACGACTTAGTAATTACAGTTACCAAATGTTACATTTACCAAATAGTATTATTAGAAGGGAAACAAAAGGAAAGAACCAGACAAACAAAAACAGGACCAGCACCAAGAAAGAAGGAAACCGGTCCCGAAGGCCGAAACATCAACATCCAAAAATAGACACGGGGAAGCACTAGTCTTGTCGGTAAAGAAAGGCCACAAAATGTCACACAAGAGAAAATTGCAGGTCATGAGCCAAAAATTAGAGGCAAGTGCCCCATCCCAAACACACAAGGCTAGGGATAAATTCTTCTGCAACTACTAATTGAGGCATTTTTTTTATTATTTATGATGATTCACATTGATCTTCTTTGCTTGATTTTTCGGATCAAATCTTTCATGCGTATACGTCTGCACTAATTGGACGCCATTGGATGCTTAATTGTTAATGGAGTAGTTAGCTATCTGAAGATGACTTTTTGTTTTGGGCTTTGTTAAGTAAGTAGTCATACTCATATTGTAGAAACGTTTAAAACTTCAGATGTTATTAGCGGTAATCATTTCAACATAATAACAACATGGGAGAAGATAGGCGGCTAAATTTATAAGAATTAGTACCAATGCTAACTAGCATCTAAATTAATTGCTCATATTTTAGATAAAATGGTTACAATTATAGAAAACACAAGATATGCTCGTTTGCTTGCGCTTCGTGGCGAGTGGAGGATAGCACTGTAATTGAATCGTATGAAACAATTGATAAAATATAACTCATACGATATAATTCAAAAAACGGCAAGAAAAATCACTAAAATGTTGTGGGAGAGAATTTGTAGTAATATGCTCGCTGGCTAACAAAGTTATAATTAACGGGTGATATTTGAAACTTAACAACTGTTAGTTAGAGAATTTACAAAGTTTCTGCATTTGAAATGAAAAAATAAGAAAGAGGGAAAAAGGAATAATTTAACATTTGGTTTTGTTAGTTCCAATGTCACTTTCACCATTTAAATGGAGAGTGAGAAAGAGATAAGTAAGAATGCAAAACCAAATACGAACAAAAGGTCGATTTTAACACAACAACAAAACACGTTTAAAGAATGGGAACCCGTGTTAGAAGATTTCTCCATGCTTTTGCTATTTGAGCTCGAGCTAGAAAGATGACTAAAGATGTAAAATTAAATAGGCCAATACGAATAAATAGATCCATTTTAGCACCATAACAAATAGCACCATAACAAATAAAAAATAATATTAGGGGATAGAAAATAGAAATAAAAAAAAGATTTTAGGAATAAAGATAGAAAATTATAAATAGATGAAAAAAGTAGAAATAAATAATAAATAATTGAAAAAGGGAAAACGAAGATGAATAGATGAATCCACTCTAATATGCTATTGTCCTTGGAGTTTTGTGTTATTTTCAATTTTACCTCTTAATGAACAGTAAACCTAGAACTAAGACTTTTATATAACTAATAATAACTAATAAAAGACAAAAAATAATACAAAATTAGTGTTGATACATAGGGAAAATGAACATGCAGACTTAGTGGGATTTTCGCTAAAAGTAGTTTCAATTTCGAAAATAAAATTACTACTAACCTGTCACTTTACCGCAACATCGTAAACACAATTACACTCAGGATTGCGAACTATTACACACAATAACCTACATTTGATTCAGCCAGAAAGCATCCAACAAAATTTGGCGCTTAAAAACTGAAAAACAACACCTTAGTTAATACAAAACACTACTAATTGTAAAAACACTCAAATTCACTGAAAATTATGGGACATCAAATGAAGAATAAAAAATCCATTTATTGTATTACTACTTCATATAAAATATCTACGATCTGTAAAAATATTTCTATAGGAAAATGTTAATATATATATATATGGTTATGTCTTCGGTGCACTCACTTTTTTGGGTGCATTCAATGCACCCGCCTTATAATCGTCATTCTGAACAGACGATTCATGTGAAAACGATGTCAATCATCCCTTGTAGTATGATGAACAAGAACCACATGAATTTGTACCAAAATCATTCAAGATTCACTTTAATTTGAATGATTCAGGATTTAGAAAGTTAGGGTTAGGGTTAGGGTTTACAATTGGGATTTTGGGTTTAAATTCAAAATTGAATGTTAATAGGTTAGGGTAGTGGGTTGATTAGTTGTGATTCTGTGTTATATCATCATATGAGACTAAGCTACCCATTAAATTTCAAAATTTGATGTATTATGACCACTTTTAGAGGTGGGTGCACTGAATGCACCCAAAAAAGTGAGTGCACCGAAGTAGCCACCATATATATATATATATATATATATATATTAGCGAAACAACTTCTTAACGTAGAATATTACCAATTATGCAAAACGTTACCAACCTTGATTAGTACCATAATACTTGATTAGTACTAACGTAATAAATATATAACCCCATAACCCATTGATCATATCATATTATACTATTTTTTTTCTATTATTTCATTTGTTCTTTTCTTTAGCTTCATCAAAGTCTAGTGGGGTTGGTGGTCCGTACATAACGAAGATAAGATGGGTCTTTTTTTTTTAATTTTATTATTGGTTTTGTGTGGTAAATTGGCAATTGAGGGAAATCTTGGTACTTAACGAAGGAAGAATAAGAGAAGGAAAGAAAGCAGAGAGTTTAAGAGAAGCAGAGAAATGGCGGGAGGAGGAAATTTTGTTTATGGGGATTTGCTGCCATTCTCAGCTATGGTGAGTATGGAGTGTATGAATGTTGGGTTGAACACACTCTTCAAAGCTGCAACAACGGCGGGCATGAGCTACTATGTCTATGTTGTCTATGCATACGCAATTGCTGCTCTTGTCCTTCTCCCTGCCCCCTTCTTCTCCCGCAGGCTGCTGCTGCTGCTGCTGCTGCTGCTGCTCTCTCTCTCTCTCTCTCTCTCTCTCTCTCTCTCTCTCTCTCTCTCTCTCTCTCTCTCTCACGTACTCACTCGTTTGCCAACTAAATTGAGAGGGTTGGCTAAATTTGCAGATCAAGAGCTCTTCCTCCACTGAGTTTCTCCATACTGTGGAAAATCGGTCTTCTCGGCGTCATTGTGTAAGTTTTTCTGTCTTCCCAGGCTGGAACTTGGATCCCGTAGCAAGGATTCAATGAGACGTTTGGTTTTGGGGAGCAGGGGCTCATCTTCGATTGTGGGATCCGCAGGCATCAGCTACAGCTCTCCAACGTTGGCTTCAGCCATTGCCAACCTCACTCCAGCCTTCACCTTCATATTGGCTGTCATGTTCAGGTGAATTGTTACCCTACTGCTCCTGCAAATTCTATGAAGGATTAGATTAGATGTCGATGGGTTGGTAGGAATAGGATGGTTCGATCATTTTTCGTGTAAGAACTAAATCATTTCCAGGTAATGATCCAAATACTTGCCAAACCGCATTATAATCTTTTCACAGAATGCGATGGATTGATTCTTTACCGATATCTAACCTCTGAACCAACATGAATCCATTTTAACCGAATCCACCAACGATCTACAAATTCAATTTGCTATCTTCTCACCACTCCTAACCTCTTACTTCCGTTTGAAATGCAAGGATGGAAAAAGTAGTATTGAGGAGAAGATCCCATCAGGCCAAAGTGTTGGGCACTATAGTGTCAATTGCAGGTGCATTTGTTGTCACTCTCTACAAGGGTGCTCCGATGTTCATTGCTGCTTCTTCATCGTCCTTGTCGTTGGCTCAACTCTATCAGTCCCTTGAGAGCTCACCAGCACAGTACTGGGTCCTTGGTGGGATTTTTCTCACCTGTGAGTACATTATGTTTTCCCTGGGATACATTTTTCTGGTAATGCTTCCTCCTCTCTTAGCCTGCCACCTTCCTTCTCAACAAGTCCATACGGAAGTTGGACTGACAAAGCTTCTCCGCTACCCATCCGAAACAGAATCGAATCCTGACAGAATACCCTGCTGAACTCACGGTAGTGTTCTTCCGCAACATAGCCGTGACCATCACAGCCACGATTGTCGCTCTGTAAACTGAAGGAACTTCTGCAAGTGCCTGGATATTGAGGCCTAATGTAGCATTGGCTTCGGTGTTGTGCACGGTAAGAGGTCGATCCGGGACTTGGTTTCCAAGAAATTCGAGGCTGAAGACACCGACATTAATTGTTCCTGATGTGTATGTTCTCTGTAGGGGCTACTTGGGTCGTGCTTGAAGTCTGTTGTTCGTGCGTGGGTAGTGAGGAAGAAGGGGCCAGTATTCGTAGTGATGTTCAAGCCTTTCTCTGTCGTGATTGCTGTTGCTATGGGCGCCATGTTCTTGGGTGACACGCTTTATGTAGGAAGGTAAGCAATTGGAAACTGAGTACAGCTTTGATTCTGAACCATATGTTATGAACAATTCTAAGGCTTTCCAAAATGTACTGTTATTATTTTTTGGCAGTGTGATTGGGGCAGTGGTGCTCTCAATTGGATTCTACGCTGTGATGTGGGGGAAAGCTCATGAGGATGAGTGCTGCAGCCAGCAGCAGGACACTCAGTCCACAGAGAAGGCTCCTCTGTTGCAGACTAGCAGAAGGAATGCTCAAGTTTAGGCTGTTAACACCATTTGGCAAACACAGTAATGCAGGATTCATGAATGGACCTTGGCCAATGATCCATATGGAGACATTATTAGAACTCGAATTAGTTCTAGATCCCAAATTATGTTAATGCACTATGCCTAGGTTAAACCAAGTTTTTGACATGATCATTGAACAAGTAAAATATCACACTTCTTTGGTCCAATTGCCGTTTCCATATTCAGTGGTCAGATATTCTAGATGATATAATCCTGGTAGGCATTCTGTTTCATCGTACCCTCCACACCTAGACCCATGTACCCTCCCCCAATAGTTATGTCAAAAAAATGATATTCACTTTGATATACTTTTAGTAAAAAAAAATTGAATAATTTTTTACCAGTCATTACCATATGGTATGCTCATATTTAATACCATATGGTAATAAAGCGTACCATGATGATAAGAAGGTTTTTTTTGACAAAAATCTGTGCTCAGCTTTATTAGGTAGATGTCAAGCGTACATCATCCAGTTTTAACTAGTCAAGAATACTAATCGGCTGTCTATTAAACCAAACCTCTGTCTCATCCCATCGAGTGTCCATATGCGCCATTATATGTGCTGCCTAGTTCGCATTTCTTCTGGTATGTTGGACTCTGCCCGCCTCTTCTCCCTGTAGCAACTTCCTGATATTCAACACAATAGTGTCCAGCTCGGTGTAGTTCACACAAGCTTCCCTAATCCATTTGACTACTGTCAAGCAGTCTGATTCCACCAACAATGTTCCTAACTGATGTCGTCGAACTAGCTGCAATCCGAGTTCCATAGCCAGCGCTTCACCCGTCGATTGGTCATGCTTCCCACGTACCTTCCTTGCCGCTGCCATTATAAACCTTCCATCATGATCTCTGATAACCACACCCAGTCCAGTGCTCTCCTCACTAAAGCCAGCATTCTGTTTTTGTCTAGGGCTTCAGGTTCTTATCTTTGCCTTTGTGATGTCATCATTCTGTTTTTGTTATTGCTTTTCAACAAATAGCGTGACTAACTGTTTGAACGTAAGCAATCATAGATAGATGCAGCTAGAGGTGACAATTGGATCGGATTCGTGGATTCGTAGATTGGATTGGTGGATCCATGGATCAAATGGATTGGTGGATTCATGGATTGGATCAAATGGATTGGTGGATTGATCCATGAATCCAAATGACATCAAAGGCTTGGACCAAAATGTAAAATTTGAAAAGTTCATCCACCATCTCATCGCGAATCGCGTCGTTCCGGCCGACACGGCCATCTCCACTGTCCTCGGCGGCCCTGTGAAGCTCTTCACTTCGAGGTTTTTTCTTCTGCTCCTGAATTGGATTTCTTCCTTTCATGCAATTTTGACGATGCGTTTTTTTTAACTTCATTGTGGAGCTCTGAATTTGCAGATGCGTTGTTGAGGAGTTTAAGCGCCGATGGCAGGGGCAGCCGCGGGGCAGGGAGAGAGTGAGAGGGCCGGCGGCGGCTCGCGGCAGTGAGAGAGTGAGGGAGAGGCGCGGCGGCGGCAGGGAGAGGGTGAAATCGCGATGGTGGACTGGAAAATCGGGAATGGAACTCTGGAATCGCGAGGGCTGCGGCAGTTTAGGGATTTAGGGGGTGAGGGAGACGGCGTCATTTTAGGGGGGTGAGGGAGAGCGCCGGTTAGTCGGTTTAACCGGCGGTTATTTGCTTCGGTTAGCCGGTTAACCGGCCTCCTCAACCCCTCTACCGCCAACCGCCCCGCGACATCGTTTTTCGGTTATCGGTTAACCGGTAACCGCCGGTAATCGGTTTAACCGACCGGTTAACCGGCAACCGATAACCGAATGGCCAGCCCTAGAAGATACAGCTGCAGGCTTCTTGCTCAGAGAAACCCGAAAAATATTAATGGAAGTATTATGCTGCATTGCTTCGATAAGGTTTTGTCTTCATTTCCACTACTTAATTTTAATTAATATTCGCTTTCACTTATTAATTATGTCATGACTGATAAAAAAAAATTGAACAAGAATAAAAAATATAAAGATTTACGTTGTTCACTGATACGATGTGAGTTATCTATTTCACAACAAGAAACACTAATTAATCTCGCTATGTTTGAGGAGACAATCCGACACTCCAAGTCGTCATAACAGTTGGTACAAATTAAACAAGTCTCAAAGTACAGGGTTGTTATTCTTAGCATAAGAAACGAATCCAGATTCTTGTTCCAACATGGTCAATTCCTTTTCATGCAAGGTGAGCCAAACTTCCACCCCATATCCAGCTGGGGACTCCAGCAAAGCCACCATGTTTGTGATGGGATTGGTGCACTGAGCCAGGGTGACCCAAGCAGGCCTCCCCCACCCAAAATCGACATCATACAGTCTCAGTCCAATCGTCGAAGATATCATAAACGGCACTACCAGACTCCTCTTCTTAAGAGCATCTGTCACGATTGCCGATTCCAGATTCCTCATGTACTCTTGTCTCCCATCTCCACCTTGTACCTTTTCCATAAACTCCTTGTCCAGTTTCGCAACCGATGCTCTCAATTTTTCCACCAGTTCTTGCAGCATTTTCGTTTCTTGTTCATCATCCACAATATCTTGTTGTTGTTGATCGCTGCAGTATAATGACGGGACAGCCCAAATTATGTTGCCGACGGAGTACTGTGGCCATGGCTCATTCATTCGAGATCGGAGATTCACCAACATCGCTACGACCCAAGATGCATGCATAAAACCCAAAAATTAAAATTCAACCGATCGATCGAGTAACTACTCGAGCTTTCTGAATCATTTAATTAAACGTTAATTAATATCGAGAAACAATTAATATTAGGATTACCTGCAACCGAGACAACTGATGTGGGCTTTGGCCCGGCAGGCGACGCAGCTCTGGCGCTGGCGGCGGCTACGCTCATGACGGATTGCCACAAAAACCCAGCAACTGCCTCCGTCCGGGTAGGGTTAGGTACCGTGCTGCTCTTGGCTTTGGCTTTCAGTGCATAAACCGCTTCTTCATCGAACACGAATCTCCTCGCCAGGATCTTATTCCCTTCTTGTTTGCCGTCCACAAAATCCTCCGCCGCCGCGGCAACGTCGTCGTGACGAACCGGCAAGAGCGACGTGGCGGCGCGGTTGTGAGCGTACGCGGTGTCGCCGACCGCCGCCGTCTTCTCCTCGCTCCTGGCAACGGCGGACCAGAGCTTCATGAAATCGGCCAGAGTTGCCGCGTCGACGATCTTGTGCAACAGGCAGACCCCGATGGCGAGCCCGCCGCAAGGGAAAGCGGTGGCCCTGAAGGCGATCTGCGGCGCCGACTCGAGCGCCCGAGTCGAGTAGACGAAGTCGGCGGGGAAAGGGAGGAATTGTTGGAGCGAGTCGAGCTGCAGTGGCTTCCCCAGAAACCGGGCCATGGACGACGAGTCGTCATGACCGTCATCGACGGTTGCGGAAGAGAACGGCACTCCCTCGTCGTTGCAATGGACGAAGGGAACTGATGAACCGTCGGCGGCGGAGGATCTGGACAGCCTGCCGGCGAGCGGGTAGAAGCGCGTGAGGGTCTGGGCGAGTGAGGACTTGAGGGTGTGGAATCTGTCTTGTTGTTTTGTGGGAGCGGATGGAGGATAGAAGAAGATGAAAGGTACGTAGAGGGGCGGGGCGTGGTTGTCCATGAGCGAGAGCTTGAAGGTGGCGAGCCGGGAGGGAGTTGGTGAACAAGGTTTGATGGTTTCCGTGGAGCTCAGGCTGATCTTAAGATGATCATGATAATGGTGATGGCTGGTTTTGTGTGATGGTGGTAACAGTGATAGTACTCTGAGTGACCAAATCGAAGATGCAGCTGCAAGCTTCTTCTTGCTTAGCGAAACCCGAAACATCAATGGAAACATGGTGGTTGTTGCAACAGGGATAATTAGGTAGTAGAATGATTATGAAGGGAATCACCCCTCAAAATGACTACTACATATATAGATCAGAGTTCAGTAGTAGATGCCAAGGGTTTTGCCAGTTTTCTCTTTTCCGACTTGGGCATGTGAGAAGATTCAGAATTAGTCTTGGGTTCCCGTGCAACATCATTGAGGTCAACTGTTCAATTTTAACTCGAAATCGTTTAAATGGCGTTGTTAGGATTAGTTTAGAATAATTTAAAACTAGTAGCAAGTGCTGTAAACTTTGGGTGTTAACACCGTAGTCGCGTTTAGGACATGTGAGAAGATTCAGAATTAGTCTCGAGAACAGCTGGTGGATAACTTGACTCATTAGCAGCCGTAGTCACGTTGCACGCATGCCCAAGCCATAAAAGAGAAGACTAGTAAACGCCTTGGCATCTGCTAAATACAGGAATCTATATATTAGTAGTCTATTCTCCCATTCATAATCATCGTCCTACCTTAATTACCAGGGTGCAATGCAACAACCACCATGTTTCCATTAATGTTTCGGATGGCGCTAAGCAAGAAGCCTACCCCTGCAACTGCATCTTCGATTTGGTCACTTCATAGAGCATCACTGTTAGCACCATCACTGAAAACCAACCATCACCGATTCGCCGTTACCACAAGATTAGTGTGAGCTCCACAGAAACCATCAAACCTTCTTCACCAACTCCCGCCCAGCTCAACACATTCAAGCTCTCCTTCATCGACAACCATGCCCTGCCTAATTACGCACCTGCCATCTTCTTCTATCCTGCTCCCAGTCCCAGAAACAGGGGATCGAATCCAAAACCAGGGGATGATAGATTCGAAATCCTCAAGTCATCACTCGCCCAGACCCTCACGCGCTTCTACCCACTCGCCGGGAGGCTGTCGAGATCCGGCGGCGACACTAATGATTCCGTCACCACCATCGTCCGCTGCAACGACCATGGCGTGCCGTTTTCTTCCGCCACTGTCGATGGCGGCGATTCGTCGACGTCATTGGCTCGGTTTCTCAAGAAACGACCTGAAATCGACTTGCTCGCGCAGTTCCTCCCTCTCCCTGCCGAGATGGTCTCCACGCCTTCCGCTCTCGAATCGGCACCGCAGATCGCCTTCGTGGCGGCGCGATCGTGAGCATACGCGCCGCGGCCAACTGCTGCCGCCGCCGTTTTCTCCTGGCTCCTGGCGACGGCGGACCATAGTTTCATGAAATCGGCCAAAGTGGCGGCGTCGATGATCTTGTGCAACATGCAAACACCGATGGCGAGCCCGCCGCAGGGGAATGCGGTAGCCCTGAAGGCGATCTGCGGCGCCGATTCGAGGTCCGAGACGATCGGATCGGCAGTGAAAGGGAGGAACTGCAGGAGCGAGTCAACTTCGAGACGTTTCCTGAGAAACTCGGCGACGGAAAAATCGACCGTGGCGGAAGAAAACGGCACGCCCTCATCGTTGCAATGGACGACGGGAACTGAACCGGCTTGATCGATGTCGCCGGATTTGGACAGCCTGCCGGCGAGTGGGTAGAAGCGCGTGAGGGTCTGGGCGAGTGAAGACTTGAGGGTCTCGAATCTTCTCACCCCTGGGTTTGGTCCCGTGGAGCCGGGAGGAGGAAAAAAGAAGAAGATGAAAGGTACATAAATTGGCGGGACATCGTTGTCGATGAGGGAGAGCTTGAATGTGGCGAGTTTTGCGGGAGTCGGGGAAGAAGGTTTGATGGTTTCTGTGGAGCTTACGTTGACTTTATGATGATAATAATGGTGGTACTGATTGCTGCTGGTTTTCAGTGATGGTGGTAGTAGTAGTAATACTCTATGGAGGGACCAAATCGAAGCTGCAGGCTTCTTGCTGCTCAGAGCAGCACGAACCAGTAATGGAAACATGGTTGATTGTTTGTAAAGCGCGTACGAAGGGAATGACTACTACTAAATATGTAGACCAGAATTTAGGAGATGCCATGGATTATACTTTTTTCTGGCATTGGGCATCTAAGGACTAAGAGGGTTTCGAAGTGGACAAAATTTGGCTGCAGCCTACAAATTAAATAATAACCGACCAACTAAAGGATCGGACAAAAGTCAAAAGGTGGCTAACACTATAAACAAACCAAATATACAGGCCAATTTTATGTATATTGATAAATCCCCAACTAGAGTTGACTTGTTTTTTTTTTTTTCTAAAGTAGAGAGACTATAAACAAACCAAATATACAACGCAAATATTACTACACTGTCATGGATCCTAAGGATATTTTTTTGTACTGAAAGATGTTGAATTTTATTCCTCCAATAGAAAGCAGTTACAAAATACAATCATGGAAAGAACTCTGAAATAAGCTCTAAGACTGTGATCCAGTCCTGAGGAAGTGAATTATGTGCAAAGGATCTAGCAACCCAGTAGCCACTAGCCAGAGCAGGGATGGAGCTACAGCCAGAGGCGGAGGCAGCCACTTTTGCCCCTGTCACAGGACAGGGGTCATTTTTGACTTGGAAAAAAAATATCCCCATATATGTTCCACACAAGTATCGAATCCAGAACCTTCAATTCACACATCGTAGCTTTACCGCTACGCTACATCCAATTGTTTGATTATAAATGGAAACAATATAGATATATTCGTTCTTAAACGGAATCCCAATTAAACAAAAACCTAATCCCATCCCTTTACCCTCTTCGTATTTTCATTTTTCATACAGCAGAAAGACAGACGAGAGAGACAGCAGCAGTCGGCCTCTTCAGCGGCAGGGGAAAGGGGATTTTCCTCCTCTGCGACCATCACCGATCCAACCCAGCAACCCCAACCATTTCGGCCTTTCTTCTTACTTTCCCCTTAGGCCTTTGCCTTTTATTCTCCTTAGCACCTCCTTGCGGCAGCAGCAAAAGTCATCGTCCACAGGCAAGCGGCAGCGGGTGTTGGGTGGCAATCCTTCCATTCTATTTCACCATTTTGTTCTAGGTAAGCTGTGAAATTGAAACCTGAAATTATATTGTGTTGTTCACCGATGTAACTCATGATAGTTGTGTTTGTTGATATGTAAATAGAACTGAAATTGTGTTGCTTATTGTGTGCTTATCTTGGCAAATTAGATCTTTCAAATGGAGAGGTATTACTTTCCAAAGAAGAACAAGACTTCCCCAATTACTACAGCCCAAGATTTTGAAGGAAGTGGAAGTAGACAAGCCCAAACTTTTCCTCCTTCAACGGTGGTGGTTCCTTCCGAGATTCGACAATCAAATGTATCGGTTTCGATAAATCAAACTTCACTACAAAGTAAGTCTTCATCTCAAGAAAGTGAAAGTGAGTCTTCCTTTGAATATGAAGAAAGCCGGTTTGATATGAATTCATTGAAAATGGATCCGGGATTAAGAGATAAAGTTTCTAGTTTTCATCCTGATGTGCAAGATGAAGTTAGAAGGTTTTATCTTGAAAATGGTCCGTGCCAACCTAAAGGTCATCGTTTTCTAGTGACTTTAGTGGGAAGAAACGCAGATTTTGTTCATCTTGGTTTCTAGAGTATAATTGGCTTGAATACAGTATTGAGAAAGATGCAGCATTTTGTCTCTACTGTTATTTGTTTGATAAGAAAAGTGGAGCACAGGATGGTTTTGTTGGTGAAGGTTTCAGAGGATGGAATAGAAAGAAGTGTTTTGCTGATCATGTGGGCAGGCATAACAGCTTCCACAACAAAGCTAAAGGCAATGCGGACCTTTTGTTGAAGCAATCACGAGGCATTGCAGCTAGTTTATCTAAACAATCAGATCAAACCAAAACCGATTATCGAACTCGATTGATGGCTTCACTTGAGTGCATAAAGTTTCTTATGCGGGGTGGATTAGCTTTTCGTGGGCACAATGAATCATCATCTTCAAGCAACAAAGGTAACTTTCTTGAGCTATTGGAGTTTCATGCTTGTGGTAGAGAAGAAGTAGAAAGAGTTGTTTTGAGAAATGCTCCAAAAAATCTCCAATTGACCTCCCCAGATATCCAGAAAGATCTTGTTCATGCAATGGCTTCTGAAACAACCAAAAAAATCATTCAAGATCTAGGAGATAACTTCTTTTGCATATTAGTTGATGAGACTCGTGATGCTTCAACCAAGGAACAAATGGCCATTGTTTTACGTTATGTGAATGATCAGGGTTTGGTTATGGAGAGGTTTCTTGGTACTACTCATGTGGCAAATACCAAAGCCTTGACACTTAAGGGTGAAATTGAAACTATGCTTTCAAAACATGGATTGAGTATGTCAAGGATAAGGGGACAAGGCTACGATGGAGCTAGCAACATGAAAGGACAAATCAATGGGTTGAAGAGTTTGATCTTAGCTGAAAATTCTTCTGCTTATTACATTCATTGTTTGCACATAAGCTTCAGTTGGCTCTTGTTGCTGTAGCTAAGAATCATCTTGAAGTTGGTGATTTTTTCAAGACTGTCAATAGTGTGATGAATCTGATTGGAGCATCTTGCAAACGATCTGAGTTTATTCGGGATGCTCAAGTTGAGAAGATTGCTGAGGCTGTAGCTGCTAATGAACGAGAGACTGGAAGGGGATTGAATCAAGAAATGGCTCTTAAAAGACCAGGTGATACTCGTTGGGGTTCTTACTATGGGGCGCTTATCAATTTGGATAGCATGTTTTCTGCTATTATTGATGTGTTCGATACAATTCAGAATGACCCTACTTCTGAGACAGATACAGCTATTGATGCATGGCGTATGTCGATTACACTTCAAGATTTTAACTTTGTCTTCATTTTGAAGTTGATGATTGAAGTGTTAGCGATAACGAATGAGCTATCACTAGCATTGCAAAGGAAAGATCAAGACATTGTAAATGCCATGAAACTTGTTCGTGTGTCAAAGACCAGATTACAAGAGATGAGAGACAATGGATGGGAGTCTTTGCTTGATGATGTAGTTTCAAGCTGCACTAAAGATTCTATTCACATTCCTATTATGCATGATGTGTATGTTCTTCCAGGACGGTCAAGGCGCAAAGCTCCGGATATCACAAACCTACATCACTTTCAGGTTGAACTGTTTTACACGGTTGTGGATATGCAGCTGCAAGAGTTGAATAATCACTTTGATGAGGTGAATACCAGATTGTTGACTTGCATGACTTGTTTTAGCCCGGAGTCTGAATTCGCTGCTTTTGACTTGGAGAAACTGATGTGTCTTACTAGATTTTATCCTGCTGAGTTTGGTTCCATCCATGATACTATTATTCGACAACAGTTTATTGGGTATCATCGTGATGTTACTGCTGATGAGAGATTTGCTTGATTAAAAGGAAGTGATGAACTTTCTCGAGTAATGGTGGAGACAAAAGTGCATCAGTCATATCCGTCTGTTTATTTGCTTCTGAAGCTAGTTTTGACTCTTCCAGTTGCAACTGCAAGTGTAGAAAGAGCATTTTCAGCTTTAAGCTATATCAAGAACAAGCTTCGAAGTCGAATTGGAGATCAGTTTGCTAATGATTGTTTAGTAGGATACATTGAAAGAGACTTACTTACGCATGTAGACAACGAATGTATTGTGCATTTCTTTCAGAATATGAAAACCTGTCGTGGTTGTTTGTGAAAACAATGATTGTATTAGTGGTAATTTCTTTATCTATGAATGGATTATTTGGATATTATTAATTTTAATTTTATTTATTTATTAATTAATTAATTATATTTATATTTTGAAAAGAGGACAGGGGTAGTTTCAAATCCTGGCTCCGCCACTGGCTACAGCATACCTAATGGGGGCCGGTCTCCCGAGAATTTCAAATCTCAGGTATATATGGTTCGGGATATTATGTATAAACTTCAAATCTAATTAAATATTAAAACGTACATGTTTAAAAGGAATTTTATTTTTTTGAAAGGGAAAAGAAATTTCATTTTGCTCAGCGGTCAACAGCTTCTACATGGACTCGTTGGTCTTGGATTTGATGCCAAATGGAAGCAGATTTCTGTTTTTCCATTTCCTTTTTATTAATGGTAAGCTGTGGTTACTGCTTTCATGGTAAGCCTAAATAAATCCTTCACTTTACATCAATTAATAAATTTAAGTATATATCAAGTACTTTATTTTAAAACAGATAATTAAGTTAAGTCCTTCAATTTATAAACATTATGAGGTACATGATGAATATTTGTAATTTGTAATTTTCCTTTTTAGTTTTCATTTGACTAAACAAATGAAGTTAATCATTTAAATTTGATATTTTGGTTTATTAATTTCTTAATTAAAAATTAGTTCATTTTAATGATACTTTCGAATATATAATAAATAATAATTTCTAAGTACTAAAGATTCATTTTTTATGGAAATAGATGTGCCACACTATTTTTTGACATGATTAAAATTTTAATCTTTTCAATTTATAGTGAGTCTAATATGAAAATATTTTGTGTGGCGCTATTCTTCATCAACGATAAAGTCTATCAATCACCGATTTGGGTGGATATTTTTTGGAGGGCATTTTCATAATTTTAGGGTGATTTTTTTAAATTTAATTTTCTTTGAATTTTAATGCTACAGATCACGGATTCGGTATGCGTTTATTCTTCACTGATGTTTAAGTCAATTAAGCACCGATTTTTGGACGGATTTATTTCGGGGCCATTTTTGGAAGATTCAATAGGGGTACGGTAGGGGTGGCTATACGGTCCGGTCCGGTTAAATTGGTCCAAATTGATCCGGTCCAGTCCGGTCTTTTTGAAAATATAAGGACCGAAGATTGGATTGGATACAGTCCAGTCTTGATTCGGTCCGGTTTTGATCCGGTCCGGTCCCAATTCGGTCTTGATTTTACATTGAGATTGTGGGATTTGAGGGGCCTAAGGCCTTAAAGGGTGAGGAGTTGGTTAAGTTTTGTACCAAGTGCAAAGGTTTGTGACCGTTTATGCAAATTACCCTTAAGTTTTGGGTGTTGAGCTCTCTTATCCGGTCTTTATCCGGTTTTTTACCTCAAATCTAAGCCCAAAGATTGGATTGGATTGTTTACTATCCGGTCCCGGTCCGGTCTCGGTCCGGTTTCCGGTTTTTAATCCGGTCCCGGTCCAAATAGCCACCCCTAGGGTACGGTACCATCACAGATTTCGGG